CATGCAGGCTTCTTGGGGGCCTCTTTGGGCGTATTGGGCCATTCTGAGGCTACCTCTGGCCGTTTCGGTGGCGTTTTGGGCGGATTTGGGGGCATCATGCGGTTTTCTTTTGCCCTCTTGGGCCAACCATGGCCGTTTTGGAAGCCATATTGGTACTCTTGGAAACGATCTTCCCTCCAGCATGGGGCCAACCGGAACAAATTATCTTGGCGAAGGACCCGGCCATTTGCAGTTGTGAATGCCGCCGTTGTGGATATCGCCCTCGGTGGAGCTCCCTATCGGGCCGCGAAGCGTGTGAGGGGTGTGCCGAAATGGCGGCGGCGGTGCCACGCGAACCATGCCATTGAGGCCGTCGAACTCCCCATGAGGCCACGAAGCGTGTGAGGGGTGTGCAGAAATGGGGGCGGTGCCGTGCGAGCCCTGCCAGTGGGGCTTTCGGCGGAGTTCCCCATGGGGACACGAAGCGTGTGAGGGGTGTGCCGGAATGGCGACGGCGGTGCCGTGCGAACCTCTCCAGTGGGGCTTTCGGCGGAGTTCTGTATGGTGCCTACACCACCATCGCAGCTGGTTCGGCCGAGGAGGGCTGTCGTGACCGCGTGCTGGACACGGGGGGTTCTTCGCGGGCCATGTGGCCGTTGCGGCAAGACTAGGATGTCGCCACGCACGCCTTCTCCTATACCACGTTTTTTTTTTCTCTCATCCCACAGCCGTCGTCTGGTCTTAGCTTCCGCACCACCGTGGCCCCCCGCACCGACCCCCGAGGACGAGGCCAGGCAGGGGCCAAGGGCGATGGCCCCCCAATGGACCGTTGTAGCCCCCGCGAAGATGTCTTTAGCCATCGCGGGCTCAGAAGGCTGTCGCGCCCGCGGTGAGTCTCAAGTGCCGAAGTGGAGGCGGCGGTGCCCTGCGAACCCTTCCTTTTGAAAGGGCTGCCAATGTGCGTTCGAACCACGCGTCGAAAACGGCCAGTTGCTGGAGGGGGGCCTCCTGGGTGTCGAGGTGACTGTCGAAGTGGATTTCATGTGGAATTCGATGTGGATTTCGATGCTGGATGTCGAGGTGGATTTCGACGCCAGATGCGACCCAGATCCACGTGTGAATTTCGGAAAGTATTTCGAGTGAGATTCCGAGGCCGTTTTTCGACAACCCTCGCGCGCTTCGTCGCCCCCGCAGCGCCGCCGGAAGTCCGCGCCGGAATCCGCACCGGGATTTGCTTTGATATTCTACGCCCTCCCCTCGCCCTCGTCCCTGGGTCGTTTCTGTGTGCGCCAGGCGCCCCTGTGCCCTGCGTCAGCGCCGCCGAGCAAGGGGGCGATCGTCGTCGGAGACGGGCGCGCCGACCGCGTGAGGGGCGGCCGTCTCCGGAGACGGGGTCCTTGCGGCTGGGCGCCTCTGCCCGAGCAAACCGCCAGGGCGCCGAGGGCAGCGGCGCGAAGCAGCGGCCTAGGAAGGGCCGCCCAGGCTAGGTCCAGAGGGCCATGGGCGCGTTTTCGGCGAGGAAGGCGGGCAACTGACTGGGGGGCTTCGTTCGCGGGCGGCACTTTTACGGTGGCTTGTGCGCGTTTGAAGTGCGCGCGTGTGAAGGTGTCTATATCTGCGGTCGCATTCGTAGCCAGTTATCATATATGGCCTTCGGCCCATCCGCCGCCGCGTCTGGGTTGTGGGTCAGCGGCCTTTGCGGCGCGCGCGTGGGTCTCGCGGCAGCTCTCCCAGGGGCCTCCTGGGGGCTCTTTTGTGGCAGCTTCTTGGGTGCCGTTTTTGGGCGCTTGTGGATGGCTTCGTTGGATTTTTTTGAGCCTCTTGGGAGGCTTCTTTGGGGCATTTTGGGGCCTCGTGCAGGCTTTCTCGGGGCTCCTCAGGGCTTCTTCGACGCCGCGGGTGGCGCGCGAAGGGTTGGCCCCTCAACGCGGCCTTCCTATCCGCGTCGCGCTCGCGGGGCGCGGCAGGCGCGGCGTTTCTTCGACGCCGCGGGGGGGGTGCGCAGCGGGTGGATCCTCGGCGCGGCCTCTATCCGCGACGCGCTCGCAGGGCGCGGAACGTGTGGCGCTTGATTGACGCCCGAGGGGGCGCGCAGAGGGTGGCCCTTCTGCGCGGCCACTATCTGCGACGGGCTTGCAGGGCGCGGCCTGCGGCAGGGGCGACGCTTTGCCGACGCCCGAGGGGGCGCTCAAGGTTCCTCTGCGCGGCTTCTATCCGCGACGCGCTAGCAGGGCGCGGCGGGCGCGGCGCTTTCTCGACGCCGGAGAGGGCGCGCGACGGGTGGTCCCCGATCGCGGGTTGGATCCGTGACGCGTTTGCAAGGCGCGGGAGGCGTGGCGCTTCCCCGACGCCGCGGGGGGCGCGCAGTGAGTGGTCCCTCAGCGCGGCCCCCTTTTTGCGCGACGCGTTCGCACGGCGCGGCAGGAGTGGCGCGTCGGCGTCGCAGGGGTTGCGCAGTGGGCGGCCCTTCATTAGAAAGAGCAAATCCAAAAAAATCATTGTCGCGCGCGCGCGTTGCTGCTGTTCTGTGGGGGGCCTACTTGGGCCCCGAACCCCGTGGGGATCCGAACCATTTTGAAATCGAAGCCATCAGCCAGCCGATCACTTTTGTCCTGACCCCTCCCCCTGGCCGAAAGGTTTGTCTTGGCGGGGCGGCGCGGGAGCGTTTGCAAGTGTCGGGAGAGGGCGCGACGCCGATTGAAAGCGGAGGCTTAGATGGGTGGCGGAAGGTGATCTCGCGTCGCTGAGCTGTTGTTTTTTCTTGTCAGTCGAGAGCGAGCGGCCGTCTCGTCGAGCTCTCCGAGGGCGCGTTCTTGTCCAGGCTGCCCGCGTCGCGCCTCGCGCGCCGCGCCGCCGCGCTGCGCGAAGACGGGGGTGGGTGGGGTGGGGGGTGGGTGGGCGCGGAAGGTGAATGGGCCCAGAGAAGATTGAATGATGGGGAGGAGAGGGCAGGAGGCTGCGAACTACTTGCGGTGCTTCATGCGCAGCGCCGCATCAATTGCTCGACCTGCCGCCCAAACCACGTGCGGCATCGGGTCGGGGGTCCTTTGAGCACGGTGCCGCGCGCCTCGGATCGAACGCCCCAAGTCGAAAATTGTTGGCCGTGAATTTTCAAGTTGTTGCTGCTGGCATTGCGGTGTTGCGTCGCTCTGGGCATAGCCGAACAATGTTGTCGATGAAGCAGCGCCCCGAGTGGCCGCCCTACTTCGCGCAGAACCCCGCAGGCGAGGAAGAAGGTGCCGTGGGAGGCTTCTTCAGTTCAGCTTGGTCCAGAGGTGTCTCCTCGCTGTAGGGCGCCTGCTGCTGGTTGCTGTTGGGCTCGTTGTGCAATGGCATCAGGTGTGCCGATGTGTAGGTGGGGATTTCACTTTCGGACAGCGTGATTTTCAGATCCTCGAGCTCCGAAGTGCGAGTGGCCGCGGGAAACTGCGAGGGGGGCGGCCTTTGATTTCGCTGCCTTTGTCTTGGCGGCGGCCTCGATGGCGGGGCAGGCGCTGGGCGAGTCAGGAGTCCCACGCAGGCGTCGCTCTGATTCAATTTCCCGCGCGCAGAGCCGCCCGAGAAGAGGCGAGGGTCATCCCCGCCGCTGGATCCGAGGTCGACGAGCGTCGCCCTGTTGGCGTTGCCGGCCACGTTCCGTGACATTTCGACGCGCGTCGCGCGGCGACGGGGCGGCCGAGTTTTGGCCCCGAGTTTCGGCCGCGCTTGCAAGGCAGCTGTCCGCGTCGGCAACGCGCGCGGCGGAGTTCTCCTTGAGGGGGCTTGTTGGGGGCATCGCGCAACCCCTCTCGGGCGCGTTGCGGCTTCCGCCTGGCGCTGGCCGTTGCCGCCCTTCGCCGCGCAGCCGCTGGTCGTGGCTGTCCTTGTCGCGCGGGCTGCTCTTCGCGTTGGGGCGGTCGGGCGGGTCTCCCAGCCCCGAACCGTTCTGGTCTTTTCCGCCAGAGGCGCGCGTTTGCGCGAGGGGGGGCGCGCGCCGCGCAGGTTTTCCTCGGGGCGACGCACGCGCCCTCGCTCGCGTGCCCGCGCGCGCCCGCGTCGTCGTGGCGCGCGCATTTGGACGTGATTATTTTTGATTTTCTAAGCAGCGAACGCAAATCTGTACAATGCTTGCGGAGACCTGGTAGCCTGACAGTTTTCGTGCCAAGGTTCGTTTCTGCATGGCGCAGCCTGCGCCGGGCCCCCCTGATCTGGCCTGTTCCAGTCGCTGACGCTCCCTCGCTCATCGCTGCTCCCTCCTCGTCTCCTCCTCGCTCATCCATCCCAGCTCCCTGTTTCCTTTCCGCCTCGCTCTGGCATTCCCCTGCCTAACTCTCCTCCCGCCCTTCCTGCCTCGTTGCGCCCGGCCCGGGACTTTTTGTCCAGGTTCCAAATCCATGCGTTCTCCGATCCGCGAGCTCCCAGAGTTCTTTTCACCGACCGCGCTTTCTTCCACTTATCATTGTCATGCTTTGCTGTGATGTTAACCTAGTTGTATTAGCGTTATTTATGCCTTCTATGGCAGTGCTTTGTTTCGCAGCGCCATTGCGATGCAACGCGTTCCTCTCCGTTCTTTGCACCCTTTTGCATTGTGTTGCACTGCCTTGCATTGAAGTTGAATGTGCAGACCCTTGTCGGTAATGCGCTTTTGCTCGGTCCGCGTTTTCATGGTTTCTTTAATCTGTATTCAAGCTTTACCTTGCTACGCACGCGGGTGTAGCTGTGAGCCTGCCTGGCCTGAGACCTGCTGGAACCTGCTCGGATGGTACTCCAGTCGAGGAGACACCGCTGTATTGGGAACAGAGCGCACCGTCGGAGATCTGGGCCCAGAGGCCGCCTCAACAAGGGTGAAACACGCGGCACATAACGCCTCGAAGTCCGTCCACGGGGGGCGCCACCTGCGTAGGCCTCGGGGCCGCCGCGGTCGTCGTCGTCGTCGTCGTCGTCGTCGTCGTCGTCGTCGTCGCCGTCGTCGTCGTCGTCGTCGTCGTCGTCTTTGTCGTCGTCGTCGTCGTCGTCGTCGTCGTCGTCGTCGTCGTCGCCAGGCCCCGCACGCCTCTGAGTGCGCCCCCGCGCTGCGCCTGGACACCTTCTGCGCCCGGGGGCCCGCGCTGGAGCCGGTGGACCTCGAGGGGGAGAATCGACGAGACGTAAGAGGGCCCCGCGGGGAGGCCTGCACCCGGGTGACCTGGACGGGTGGCCAGGCGATGTCCCTCGCTCGTGCTCCCAAGGACACGAGCGGCGGGAGCCTCGGCGAGCTGGTGGATCTACTACCCGCGAGAGTGACCTCTGGCAGGAGTGACCTTTGCTGTGGGCCCACTGGGGTCCACCGATTGCCGAACGCGATGTGGTAGTATGTAGTGTCCCTTGCGCTTGTGTTTGGTCCCCCCGCGGCCCTCAAAGAGCCGCGCACCAGAGGTCACTCTGACCCAGTGTCACTCTTGCGAGTAGCCAGGGAAACGCCATGGGGGCAACGGCCCCTCCTCTGTGACAGGCGCGGCCCAGAGCAGGCCGCCACTCGGCTCCCCAGTGATCGCGATCCAGGGTCACCTCGTCCAGCTGCCCGGCTTCGGCCCCAGGCGCCACACCGCCAGTGCGGACGTTCTCGGAGTGTTCGGTGGACGAGGAAGACTCGCCATGGGGGAAGCTAGTCTTGAGGGACACGTGTCCCGAGAGTTTTTTCGCTGATTTCGGGCTCTCGGAGCCTTCCACGGGCCCCGGGACTGCCAGAAAACGGCTCAGGATGAAGATCTGGTCTTGGGGGAAGGCCCCAGGGTTCAGGACCCGTTTCCCTCAGGACCCGTTTCCACCATGCTGAACGACGAGGGCGAGGGCGAAGACGACGACGAGGGCGACGGAGACGATGAGGACGACGACGACCACGTCGAGAGACACGAGGACGACCACGACGAGGGCGACGGCGGCAAGGCCGACGAGGACGACGACCGTGGCTCGGCGGCGCGCCGAGGGGGGGAGGCCAAGAGGGGGGCGCGCCTTCTCAGGAGACTCCTGGATTTTTTCGAGCCAGGCGTTGTGGCCCAGCTTCGGGTCCCGGGGCCCTCACATATCGATCCGGCTTGAAAATGGCGCAGAGAGATGGGGTCTGGGGCGCTGCTCGTAAATTTCACGATGTGTTCTGTTTTTCCGCTACGTCGGGTCTCAGGAAGGCCTCTTGCCTTCTGAAGAAGCCTTTTTGCTGAGGCTCTTTCGAGGCCGCGGAGGGGGCTCCGCAGGAGGCCACAGGGCATCTGAGTAACCACGCTACCTTCGAGAAGACCTGCCCCCTTTCACTTCCCCCTGCCGACATTGGTCATAGTCCATGCTGGCTGCCGCCTATTCGCGAGGATGATCCACGAGTTGACGACGACCACGGTGGATGACCATGGTTGACGACGACCACGACGTTTCCACGTTTTCGGCACTGTGGGACCGCCCACCTGTGATATGGATCGGCGCGGTGCTGGGACGCTTTCACTCTCTCACGCGGTGAGGCGAGGCGTAGCTCTTGAGGCCAAGGGCCCTAAAAAATTTGGTCCATGGCGGCGGCAGGGAAAAGGGTGAGAGCAGCAAGGGCAGAGGCACGGAAGGAGCGGGTATCCAGGCCTCGGTGGGGCACAATGGGTATCCAGGGGAATCCCTCGGGCACCTCTGTTCTCCTTGTGTGTGAAGTCCGCTCATATCACCATTATATCCTCATCTACCGCCGACGTCTCGGCTCAGGTATTGGTATAACACATCGCGCTGTCTCATACGCAGCGCCTTGGAAAAGGACTCGTGACCCTTTTCCTTCCCTATCTCCACCTACGGGAAACACTGTAGGCTCGACTCTTTTGTCGTTAACCCACATACACAGGTTATCAGCCTATTGTTTCGCGCTTTCCGTCGCGACGTTCCGCTTCGTCTGTGACCTTGCCGATGCCGCCATTTCCCCCTTTTAACGACGGCAGCGCCACGTCGCTCGAGGCTGCGCTCGGGGACCTCATCCCCGATTCGCCGCCCGCGCGCGCGCCCACTCACACGCCTGGGATCGAACGCCATGCCCCGGCGCCTGATACGTCCAATACGTTTACTGGCGCCGCTTTTCGTTCGGTACCGTCGCCGGTGGAAACACCAGCAGTTGCCTTCGGAACCACCGCTGGTTTCGCCTCGCCTCCATGTTTTTCTCCAACCTTCGCTGGTGGAGACACCCGCAATGGCGGCGCCAGAGAAACGCCTCATGAGAAAACTTTCGCACGCCACCGCCGCCGGGGAGATTGCATGTTCCCAACCATGGTTTTCCGTTTCTGAACACTTGCGTGCCATTGAAGTTCGCGCTGGGCGGACATTTCATCGAAAGGGCCCTTGAGCGGTGTCACATCCACATTCCTGGTCGGGACAATCGCCGCAACCCTTTTCAGAGGCGCTCCCGGCAGAGTTCCCTGCGGCGCGATATCGCTTCGCATGCGCTCAGCCAGTGATTTGGCCGATCCCCGAAACCAGGTTGACATTTGCGCGACCCAACCGATGTCGGGTCTTGCTGCGCTGACAGCAACACTGATGCAAAAGTTCCACCACGCCTTCGCCTTTGTCGACGTTCGGATCGCTGAAGACCGATCGATCCTCATTCAGGTCCAATATCAAATCGACCGCATGGAGTCACACAGAGGTTCCGATTCCACAGCATTTTAGACGCTCCACGACTACCTCCTCTCAGTGGATGCCCACTTCGTGAGCGTCAGGGACACGGGAACTGCCGCCGTCAGGACACTACACGATGAGCTCCTGACAGTACGGATCAACAGCTCCGCCTGGTCGAAGTGACTGCAGCCAACCTAACTCCCAAAGTACCAGTCACGTCCGAGTTGCACGGCAAACTGCGTAGTGCTGAAATGTCTATTGCTCAACGTCTTGATGATTCAGGGGGACGTGTGCCAACGCATGAGAACCGGGTCTCCACGGTCGAGCAGCAGCTACCTGAAATAACGGCAGCGCTGGCTGAGTTCCGTGTTGTACGGACCCAGACTGATCAGCCGGGCGCGCCGACTTCGGTTTACGATTTCGCCACCCTCGAAGCCCGACTGGCCGGGTATGGGAGGCGGCGGACCACGCGCACTTACGATTTACCCAGATCTCCCCAGAAAGGGACGGTGAAAAATCACGGGTCGAGAATGTATTCGCCCGTTTGGAACAAGAGCGCGAAACAAACACCCGACGAATCCAGGAACTAGAGCATCTGCTGGACCGGTATTCTCAGCGAGCCCACGACACCCACTACGAAATGTGGTCGAAGACAAAACGTTGAGAACATGTATACCGACACAAACCATTGAAATTACCATGAGGGCCCACGTGAGCGACATTCAAATCCACCATCCGACCCTACCCCCAGAACTTCCACACCGACTGTGCCCCAAACCGTGCCGATGGAACCGTCTGCGCTGGGCAAACGCGACGTACGTCAACAGGCGCCACCTCTGCATCGGTTTCCAGTCAGACACGTCGCGTTTCTCCTGCGCGCGCACCGTCGCCGACTTAACCGATCCCATCACAGACGTTCTCGCAGTTTTCTCTTGGTGGTACCGCCCCTATCAAGGAATCATGCACTGTGCGAATTCCTCAATTGCCACGTACTACTCAGTTACAGGAGTGGCAACATATGGTCAGGAGCAATTTTGGCAGCGCTTTTGGGCGACCTGCCAAATCATGCGCATTCCTTTGCGTTGCAGAACAACCGCGTGCCACTTTCGAGGGCCTCCAGGACAGTGGCGTTTTCGAAAGTATCGATTGCAAACTTATTGCTAGACCCGCGGCAGTTCTTAACGTTGAGATCCGGTACCGCGCGGAGGACCTAACAGCTCAGGAGCATAAGGCCGGCCGCATTTTGAAGGGTGGACATATATGTTGGGCTATACTGCGATCCTACAGTGTCACTGAGGTCGATGACGCGATGCGTGACTTTGAACGTCTACATCCCATTCGCTCGCGGAACGACGGCTCCTAACGTTTTATCGTGGACTGGAACAATCCATTCTCGGAGTGCCGCGAACCACCATATACAGAAATATTTGAGTCCTTGTTCTGGGCTCAGATCCGCAGACATCAGTGGATGAAGCAGGACATGCGCGACTGCGACAAGATGAAACCGAACGACCCCAATCGCACAGATGAGTGGCTCCGAGGACGTGTCCTGGCCAACCTAGAGTCGCATCGACTCGAACGCAACCAGCACAACCTCAATCACGAATCGACTGGTTACGAAACGACCGTCTGTGCGGCATTCATATCCGAGCTCTGTGAGAACGGTCGACGGCGCGCGTAGGATCTAGCAGCCGCTCCACGCAGCGATTTCCGCGACGAGCTTCCACTTCCGGCAGGGGCGCCCACGTCGGGCGACGTTCAACGGGCAGAGGCTCGGGGCAGCCGCCTAACGAACAGAACTTTTGCTTCGCCTTGGCGAAACAAGGCTCCTGCCCGCGACGAGATCGCTGCAAATGTCCACGCGTTGCTAAATGCAGCTTCCGCGTGCATTCGAAACTGCGCTGCAAACGTGGCAGCGGCTGCTGGTTCGCGCGGGTCGATCCCGGCGCGAAGACTCCCGGGCGGAGCCCCGGCTGGACATGCAGCCGAGACAGCCGTCGGGGGGGGCCTCCCCCCGCGAGGGCGGCGGGGCTCCCGGAGGGCGCGCGCTGGTCGCGCCGACGAGCGCCGTCTCCTGGGCGCGGGGGGCGGCGAGACTCGCGGGGCCCAGGCTGTCGCGGATGGTGGCCGCGAGCCCCGCGGCGCGCGCGATCGTCATCGCGGAACTCCAACCGCGACCATCATCGCGCGCGTTCCCCCGCTAGGAGTGGCAGGGGCGGAATGCGATCTGCATCTCGCGGCTCCAGCCGATCGCCGTTGGCCCGTAATCGGAACCGCTCACCTGCAGCAGCCCGGCGCAATGGGCGACGTGATCGGGCGTGCGTCGTCCGCGGGCGGGCGCTTAGCATCGCCGACTCGCGCTCGCGGCAATTGCTCTTGGATGTCGACGACGTTGGCGTCGTCGCCTGCCCGCTTCGTCGCGAACTTTACAGCGTCAACGAGCCTTGGGTCAATCAAGGTGACCACGTCGATGTGCCCGATCCGTTGCCTGATTGGTGGCTGGGAG